CGTTTTTGACTTAGACAAAATTTTCAAATCCAAAACAGTATTTTCTTGCTACTGGTGAGCTATTTTCAAGCATGTTAGCAGCTGAACTGGCCTATGACCCAAAAGTAAAAGTTATTGCTCTACTCAAATACTACAAATTTGTTTTAGTAAACACATCCATGCAAAGTCTCTATGACATAGTTCAAACTAGGTCAAACATACTACTTTCAAATGATGACTTACACTATATCTATGTCTTAGAGACCACACTAGCCTTAGTCATGAATACCAAAGTTGTTCATAGTGACATGCTAAACATGTTTAATGTATTCCTAAGGTCACACAAGCATTTCATACATTGGTTACATATAAAACTTCCCAGGTCAACAAGCATATCATCATTTAGGAGCTTAATTAGATAAAGTGGTCTACATGAACATTGTTCCACTAGTCATCCTAAGTGTAGCTAGGGTGTTTGTGTGACCAACATCAACCACTTACACTTATTCACACATGATCACATGCATACATATAAGGAAACATAAAATAACAAAGCATGTTTCATATGTTTCAATCATATGTTTCACATGTAAAAGCTTATATATGAATGCTTGATGGTTATGCTCCTGCAATGCAAGTCAAATTATGCAAGCCTAACAGCTAGGGTGTTACAAAAATGGCCTCGGAAGTTACAAAATATCACAAACAGCTCCCTAGACGTCTAACCAAACATATAAGCAACAATTTGCAATAATGTAATTGCCAAGAGATGCCTCAAATAGTGTCAATAGTAGCTCCAATATCGCATCACTCTAGTGCCCCCTCTTGTTACTCCTATGTCCTGCTCTCATATCAATGATGTCATACTATCAATTTCTTATCAGTAGAAGCAGTTGTTCCATCACAGGTGAGAAATATGAGCTACGTATTGTTCTATTCGAGCAGTTCATATCCTCTTAAAATTTAATTGATGAGCTTTGCTCCTTAGATTAAATTTATTTGTTATACTTCCATGTCGCTATCTAATATTATGATTCTACATAAGCAAGATCTATGATTCTTTCTATCCCATTGCTTGTTTTTAGCTCTGGATATCTAGAAAAAACAATTTTAGATCTTGTGGGTTGTGATAGGCTAGATGGTAAAAGTCAAATATCCAAAAGCTACTAGTCATTTTGCATACTAGATTCTAGCTTATGGAGCTACGCATGAGGCCTGAGGTTGCGAGTTCAAACCCTGTGGCCATGCAACGCATTTTTCATGTAAAAAATTGTGTGACTTGTGATGGTGTGCACGTGTGGCTACCTGGGAGCAACCTCAACAAACTCGATTTCTAGAGGAGGCTCCTATTTCTAGCTAAGAGCTTATCAAAAAGGAGCATCGTGCTACAGTAATCGTGATGCCTTAGTGCTGCATCATGGCTGACTCTTATTCCCTAAGATCGCCCTTCTAATCTGGCTAGTGGTCTCTCTGCCTCTTCTTTATGAAGCGTGGCTCCTAAACGTTCTTAGGTGTGCTCATCAAGATTCTTTTCTTCGGTGAGAAGGTGTTTGATGATGAATGCTCACATGAAGGGGATGGGATTAGCGCACCTCTTGCACTATTGTATCATCGTATATAATTATAGTCATGCGGTAATAAAGATAATAGATGTTATAACTTTTGTACTTAGAGATAATATTTTTACATATATTTTTCCCTTATGTTCTTTTTCTTGTTGAGGACTACGTATGTATGTCTATTTATGTCTTTTTCTCGCTTGCATTAGTCTTTTGTGTGGGATTTGATGAATTTAACAGTTCCACAACTTTGTAGTGTTGTGTTGTAGCATTGTAGAATTATATTACGTAGTACCTAGGGTGTTACATCTACCTCAAGGAATATATTAGGCATGTTGTTATATCTGATAGGTTGTTATCCGCACATGCACATAATTTGCACAAGCGACTCAAATAACAGACCTCTATTTGTATTGCTAGAGTACTGTCGCTATATCACTGGTACAGGTCTGAACCGGTGGAGATGAGTAATCCTGTGGCAATGTCATTTTGTGGATAAGACATCTCCAACAATATCTAAAAATTTGTTTTGAGAAACAATATCTAAAAAGTCCTAAAAATCTGATTTTGGAACAAAAAAATACACTGCATTAGCAGTTCCTTTATTGGTTCCTAAAAAACATACATGCCATCATCTCCATACGTGATAAGTCGCCACAACTTGCCATCATGGCTAGCTATCCCTAGCACCGTAGCTCACACCTAAACCCTTCAAATAGAATCTTCGTTGTCTGTTCTACCTCACGGTACTCTCAGATATGAAAATAATAGTGGTCATAATTATAGCAAACCTCCCAGATGGCGACAGTGGCGGTCGGGCCATAGCTGGACATCCCATTAACCATAACACGCACGCAGAACCTCCAAAACACAATCTCCATTGTCTGACCTATCCCCCATTATTCTCAGATCTCAAAATAGTGGCGGAGGATCCAATTCTGGCAAACCTGTGGCAGAGACGACGGGAAGTGCCAAGGAACAATAAAGAAACATAGCGCCAACAGCATCAACATGGATAGGGAGTATCGGTCGTGTCCATATCTTTATGCATGGATAAGCATTTGGGAGCTACTAGTGCACAAAATATCTTTACTGGCAGTACATTTCATATTTCAACTGGTGCTTCTACCAACCGTTGGTGTAAAAGGCAAGTAGAAATCAGCAAACTCCGTCAGTGTAAAAGGGCAGTACAAATCAGCAAATTTTACTGACGACGTCTAAGAACCACCACTATAAATATTCCAATATAAATTGATTTATACTTGCAGTTTTGTTAAGCAAACTGTCACTATAAATGATTTTTGAGAAATTACAAATTGAGCAATCGAACTCAAAACCTTAAGCCTCGCGCATTACACCCTTTTACCACTGCACCCCAAAATCACCTATGACTTAAGAATAGAAATATTCTCTTAGTATTCACTCCACCGGATTTTAAAATGGAGTTTTGAAGTCCTAAATGAATTCAAATGAGAAAAGTTTCAACCATAAAGTTTTACATCTCATCAAGATCTATAACTTTGGTTTTGATCATTTTTCCATCCGAGGTCATTTAATAAATTCAAAAAAATATGAATTTTAAAATCATTAATCTTAAAAGTTGGAGCCCTAAATTACTCCAAATCAAAAATAGTCAACTACAAAGTTGTAGATCTTTCTTGATACTACAACTTTCATCTAAACCATTTCTCCATCTGAGATCATTTGAAAAATTCAAAAAAAATTCAAATTATTTGTAGTGGTGCTAGGTTAAAAAACAACAAGTAAAAATAAATTTACACTGGCGGTTCATAGACATGGGCCCATAATTTTATTTCTGCTAGCACCTATACATTATGAACTGCCAGTGAAAAATCGTGAGCGTCAGTAAAAATCAATTTCATAGTAGTGTAGGATAAGGAGTTGATGGAGTGGGTTTTTATACCACGCTAAAAACACAAGATTGGAAGTGGGTTTACAAAACTATTGAAGATCCTCGTATTCCTTTTATTTTTGGGACTATTTTTTCTACTCTCCAGGAGAGCAAGATTTTAGCTTAGCTTTTTGTTGCTAGCACTTTTTCTTTGTTACTACTAGTTAATTTAATTTTTCTTCTTTTTACCATTGTTCTTTAATATATTATCTTCATTCTAATTATAGGAGCTTTTATCATACAAACCAGCATTTGCATCTTAATTTCCTATTTCATGGATTCAATGTTGGATAGCTAATTCCTAAAATTTATATTCAAGAGAAGGTAAGAGAAAAGTAAAGCGGTGACAATAGTAGTGCTTCTTTTTGTGGAAAACGTGGGAAGGGACCTGTAATAAGGCCATGATATGCAGATATTTCACCTTAGTGATAGTTGTATATTGGTTTCCTAATTGAATTATAAACTTCAAAATATCTCTTCACAAATGTTCATAGATCATGGATGCTCAGATAAGAAACAAATTATAATGGTCCTTGTAGAGGAATATGTATGTATAATAGTATATGGGACGGAAGTGAAAATGGATGTTCTTCTTTGGCAGGTTAGTGGTTTTCTTGTTACTATTGTCATTTTCCATTGAACAAGGTCCCATTCCTTATTTTCAGGTGATCATGGGCTTCGTCTATCTTGCCATTGGAATAGGACTAGCTTCAACACTTGGTAAGTACATTATTATTATCTATTCAAAGTTAATACTCCATCCATCCACAAGTATAAGGGAATATATGATTTTTTAAGATATACTTAGGGGACAACCACATCTTAAATAACAATAAATTGTACATGCAACAATATCCCAGTTAATTTAAGGGACGGTTATTGGGCTTTAAATAGCAGGTAATTCCCCTAATTAAATACTAACACTTAATCCCAATGTATTAACCATATTTATGTTTTTGGACAATTTTTAGACCACAAAATCCCTTATACAGTATATTTGTGGACAGAGAGAATATATGGTATCAATTCAGCGTAATAAAATTGGGTACTTACTAAGTATTGTTTTCATGAGTTCCTTAAAAGAAAATGCATTTCTAGAACAAAACAATTACTATTTTTCTTCACAAACATACCTTCTTCAGTTTAGTACCTTTGATGATTTTCTAGAGGTGGTTTGTCCATGTCCAAAGAAGACCTCCTAAGGTACCAGTGCATTGTGGAGTCCTAAGTCAAGCTAATAATATGAGGAGAGATAGAGGAAGACCGAAATTGACATGGGGGAGACAATAAAAAGAGATTTGAAAGCTTGGGATATACCTAGAGATCTATGTTTGAATAGGAGTACTTGGAAAGCAGCTATTGAAGTGTCTGAACCGTGACTTGGGGCTCTTGGTGGGTTTCAACTCTAGCCTACCCCAACTTGCTTGGGACTAAAAGGCTATGTTGTTGTTGTTGTGTCATGTTGGACAATTACTGGACAAAGACAAGCAGCACGAATCAGAGCCTTGTATCTCAAGGCAATTCTTAGACAGGACATCGCATTTTTTGACATGGAAATGAGCACCGGGCAAGTTGTTGAAAGGATGTCAGCAGACACATTACTAGTTGAAGATGCCATTGGAGAAAAGGTATGCTATTTTGAGATTATGGAAGAACTATGAGCAGATAAACCACATTATGAGCTGTTAGATTATATGGATACCTATTTACCTAATATCCATGTAAAGATAACATATGTTCGTAGCAATAGGTACAGTAATAGTGGGTTCATACTATTTTTGCATGTCTCTCTATTAATACTTCAAGATATTCTCTGTATTTGATATGTTTTAAAACAGCCTAATAGAGTCGCTAAAGTCTATGTGGACATTAGTTCAGCCAAAGTTGATAACATGAATTTTTATCACAAATTGTACGTAAATCAATGTAATTGAACATTTCTATAGAATAAACATATGCTCATTTTGTGTATAAAAATTGATTAAATATAAACAAACAGCACTTCATTTTCAATTAAGTCTTTCTTGGGTTCTATGCTCATTAGGTCGGGAAGACCATACAGCTCCTTTCTACTTGTGTTGGTGGCTTCGCTATAGCATTTGTAAGAGGATGGTACCTGGCTCTTGTGATGCTCTCAAGCATTCCTCCGGTAGCTGTTGCCTTTGCATGCGTGTCAATATTCAGGGCAAGGCTCTCTAGTCGCATGCAAGCAAAATATGGTGATGCTGCAAAATGTTGTTGAACAAACTCTTAGGGCCATTAGAACGGTCAGTGCATATAGATAAGCCTAGTGTTAAAGCACTTGTATCTTATTTTTCCTGTACTTTTTATTTTTCTTGGCTTCCAAGCCTAGTGTTAGAAATATGCTCAGCACCACTTTAGTGGTTGAAATATATTGTAGCAAGTGGGAGTCTTCTTTGCCTATAAGGGGTAAGGAAGTGTCATTGTAAAAACAGACCATTGCATTTTTCATTCAATCCAAGCAGCCAAGGGCCAAGCTGCCCATTGGTAGTTTCATATTTGAATCTGAGATCCAATCGGGCCAACAATCTGGTATCAAAGCCGAGAGGGTTCTTGAGTAAGCGAGCGCCATGTCCACCGCCAGCCAGGTCGTGAGAGCGCGTGCCGCAGCGGGTGCCAGAGCCGACGATCGCGCGATGCACCTTACTGCCGCAGAGGCAACGACCAGGCAGGCAGCAGCTGTTGTAACAACCCAAAAATCCACATATCAAAAATCACAACTACAAATTTTTTTATTTAAACCCTATGTGATGTTGAGTGATACATGTAGAAGCCAAACCCTAGTTCTGGATTAGATATGACCCAACTAGGTTAAGATCATAAGCATAGCTTGGTTTTATGCCTCATGTGTAATTAAATTCCTAAATAAACAAATCATGCATGCATCCTTAAATTTCACTTGTGATTTGGATTCTTTTGCCTTATGTGATGTTTAACTAACTTACTTAATATTTATGATAAACCTTTATATATGGGATGTATTTTGACCACTATTTGAAACACCTTGTGTGACCCACTACATAACTCGAAGCTCAAGTTTAAACTCTAACTAAATTTGAATCGAAGCAAAAGAAATAAAAGAGAAAGAAAAATGAGGGAGGCAAGAATCAGCCTAGCTTTGCCTTGCTTCGACCGCCAGATTAGCCCAACCAATCCTCGTCATTGCCCTTTCACGCAGACACCACGACAAGCCAAACCCGCCCGTCACATCACCACGCACGCGCACACACCGCCGCCAAGATCGGACAAGTCGACAACCGGACCCCACGCGTCAGCCACCCCAGCAACAGGATCATCTTCCTCCCCACGCCAACCTCTTTCACGACCGGGAGCCGACCACGGAACAGACGCGGGCCCAGGGTCACGCACATCGCATGACCCAGTTCCCTCTTGTGCCGCGCCAACGCTACCGCACGCAGGCCGTCGGATGCGTCGCACGCATCACCACTGCCCGATCGCCGTCCGCCATTGGAGCCCTTGGAGCTCGGCTATAAAAACCAACGCCCGCGAGCCCTAACCCTCAGCCCGTTCGCCGCCGCCGCTGGTGGCACAACACCACACCGCGTTAAGCCGAGAGAGAGGGAGGAGGAAGAAGCAAGGAGGAGAAGGAAGCCGCTGCGGAACCGAACCTCGCCGGAGCCAGGAGCGCCGCCCCGATCGGCTACAGCGACGTAGCTGCTCAACACGACACTACATCGCCTCATCATGACCTCGCCTCACCAGCGCACCGCCATGAGCCCTACGGTGAGCCGCGTCGTTCGCCGCTCACCGCGCTAGCCGTACTCGCCATGAATGCCACCGCGTTCCCGCACCTGGGGAACGCAGAGGCGGAGCATTTCCGCTCCTGGACATGCTGCACACGCACCGCATGTGCACCAGCCCAAGGCCTAACCTCACCGACCCCTAGCAGCTCGGGAACACTGGCACGACCGCACCTAGCCTCTCGGACGCCATGAACGGACCACGTCGGAGCACGAGCTCTTGCTCCGGCTTAGCCAACCGGTAGCATAGAAGGACCACCACGACCTCTTGTTGAGCCAAACGGAAACGCGAAGCAAAGTGAAGAAAGGGGGTGACGCCGAGCCCTCTGCTCGGGAACGCCAGTGCCGAGCGCTCTGCTCATGCCATGCATACACATCGCACGCACGCACGCGCTCACCATGGCCAGAGCACAACCATGGCGAGACCACCGTGTCTTCTACGTCGTGGTAAAGGCGACGTTGACACCCTGACTAGCTCTGCCATGATGAGAGACACACCGCGCTCACCTTAGCTGAGAATGAAGCCACCGGAGCCCTGCGTTGTCGCACCGCACCTCGTCGGAGCGCCACCGCCTCCGCTTTGCCCCACCACCATGACCGGAGCCACTAGGAGCACCAGGAGCTCCTTCAATACGCCTACCATAGTCGTAGAAGCACCGTGGAGCTCACACGCTCCCCCAACTGGGCTCTCGCTAGCACTGTAGCCCTATCCATGCACGCCGACGAACCCACGCCGCCATTCACCACGGCCAACCAACTGGAGCCGCCCGACCACCATGTTAACTTCACCGAGACACCCGCTATGGCATGGCCAAGCTTTTGCCCACCTTAATTGCACACCCACGCCGCTGGAGGGGCTCGCCGGTGAGCTCACCACCGGCGGGAGCACGACGGGGAAGAAGATTGGGATTTTCCCCTCGTCGGCCACACGTCCGTGCACTTGGTGCACGTGAATCAAACACTGGGAAGGAGTAAGTGGACCAAGTCCTTCATAGACCGGCTCTGCGGTCTATGGACCAACGCAGGCGGGTTCACCATGAACCGCGCCTCACCTGTCAGTCACCGTTTGACCCCGGACCCACCTGTCAGCCGTAGTTTAGCTCAGATGGCGCCATGCTGACGTCATGCTGATGATGAGACCACGCCAGCGTTGGGGACTTCGGCAATCTCACCGACCACCTCGGTGACCAGTCCGACCACCTCTGCGATCTCACCGACCACCTCGGCCAGCCTTCCGACCACGACGGTGATCTCACCGACCACCTCGGCGACATCTCCAACCACCTCAGCAAGCTCACCGACCACCTCGGCCAGCCTTCCGACCACGATGGTGATCTCACCGACCACCTCGACAACATCTCCGACCACCTCTGCAACCTCTCTGACCACCTCACCAGCCGATACACCACTCCAAGTCCCCACATGCCACGTGAACCAGTCACAGTCTGACACGTGTCAGCCCGGAATTAATCAGCCTTAATTTAATCTTCGGAAATACATAACTAATTCATACGACCTCGGAAGAATACAAGACCAGGACCAAAATTCATATAAAATCGAGCTCTACGCAATGAACCCATGTTTGAGTGCATTTGGCTCTTTTGAATCTTCATTGCTTCTTTGTGCTATTCTATAGGCGTCGCTAACGCGACTATAATGCGATCGTTTGCAGACTCGGAGGAGAACTAGACGGACGAGGACCGAGAGTACCGTGAGGAGTACGGAGACGACTGCACTGAAGGTGCCACATCCCACCCAACCTCGTAGCACCTATTACGCATGGCTAATATAGAACTGCTAGTGCTTTACTTTATTGTTATGATCACACTATGATAGGACTTGCATGGCAGTATGCTTTCTTGATGGCCTTTACCTTGTCGCAACCTTACCCCTGCTCACCCTGCTGTTAGGCTAGTCACACGCTTGCTGCTATATTTCATTGCTTATTATTTCTACTACGCTTGTACTACATTGATGTGTGGTGGAAACTGGTGTTATCTGGACTATGGGGAGAGTGATGCGTGTGTGACTTGGGTGCGTGGAGGGTGAGGGTTGTGTCGACCAAGTTGGAATATACGACGAGCCTGGGGCAAGTCTTGCCGTGGGGTGCTACCTGGGCACCCCTGGAATGGATACCTGTGGTGGGTAAATGGTAATTGGAGGTGGCCTTGGGTGTGAACCTCGAAGAGGTGGAGCCCGGGGTAGAGGTGCTGTGGTGGCACGTAAAATGGAAACCCTGATGAAGACATTCTGGCTTGGTCAATCCCTAAGGACTTACTAGTACTCAGACTCACCGGGAATCCTTTACATCCCACTCGCCCTATATGGTGCGGGATGGTCGGACTACTTGGTAGAACGATGCCACTACTGCTAGGCGAACGTGTGCAAGGAGGCACGGGGCGCGCGGTTTCCCCCCACACCCTTCCGAGACTTCATGAGGCCTTGTGGACCTGGCTCTTGACATCTAGAGGGCCTCAGCTCTGTCTATGACTCACAGTATCAGCCATCCCAAGCCAGACTTGGGATGTTCCAGGGCTGAGAGGTAGGGTGGCATAGTTCTAGGCTAGCAAGCGACCGGAATTCTGCCTAGGAGATACATGGCTCCGAGGATGGCTAATCTTGTGGGTATGTAGAACCTCTACAGAGTGTTTGGTTGATCGATCGATACATATGCCGACTTGTCGGCTATGGACCTTTCCTGGGTTTTGCTTAAACTAGATAGTGAGATGAGTCCTTCTCTTCTCCCCCCTGGGAGTGAGTGTTCGGATGTAGCCAGGGCTACGGGCCATGAGACAGTGCCGAGAGGGAGTTGGCCTATCGACTGAGCGATGGTATGGTTGTGATGTGGTGATGATGTGGAGATAGTGGTATATCGATCCCAGGATCGAAACCTGGCTCTAGACGGGAAAGGGGTGGAATGGGTGTGTGAATGGTGTTAAAACTTGACCAAACATTATTATGTACTTGATATGCAAAAACATAGGAAACCCCAGCCTTATAGGTCCCTCTTGATTTTATCCAACTTGCATCCAATTTCCACAAAGCAATGCTCATAGGGTGGGAGTGGCCAATACAAATTATACTGATAAATTTTGGCACACAGGTTCTGCTGAGGAGTATAGCTCTAAGGAGTTTGACGGTTGAGGGGTTCGTTCCTACGCTCGAGTTTGGCGATCTTGTCTTCAAGCTGTTCTGAATGAATGCTACTTTTGATTCCGCCAATGCGGCGATGTAATAATTTATGTAACTCCGCACTATTTGTACTCTGATATTACGTTGTATGGATGTGATATTCGACTAGAATTTTGGGTAATATGATCTACAACGGTCTTATTACACTTCGACTCTGTGGATTTTCCTTCACAAAAATCAGGTCGTTTTAGCTGTGACCCAGGCCGCGGTAGCCGCGGCCGCAGCACTACGCACCGAGATGGAGCGGGAGCCGAAGCCAACTAGAGGA